TTAATATTAAAAAAAAAACATGTTTTAAATGTAAGTATTTATGAATTAAATTTTACTAATTTAAATACTTTACCAGAATCAACAACATGATCGTGCGTTGGAAACCGTTTTTTCACTGAAGAACTAATCGATCTTAAAACAAGTATTAAAGAAAGATTTAAATAACGCATCAGTGTTCTTCGGAGTATACGACTGTACTCGTCGTTTCCCACAACATATAATGCAATTGAATGCATTACTCTGAAAGAACATATTTATAGGAAATCTTTTAGTAATTTATTATACATTTATTATTGTGACTCACTTATCTGGCCAAGGTATAGCTTGATATTGTTGCCACCATCTCTGAGCAACGTATGATACATAGAATCCAAGAACGAAACTTAATGGAATTAAATTAATGAAATTATCACAATAAATAACAATTTGTTCGAATTCTCTGAAAATAAATGTTCAATTAATATTTTTATTTCTTAATCTGTTAAAAGATAGCAACTGTTTAATTACAAACTTTTTCTGCACAGCATTAAGTAGGTATCGATAAATAGCAGAAAGTGCAGCAAAAAGAAATAAAAATAGTAGAAGTTCCCTATAGATAAGCTTGTAAAGAGAACCTCTCCACATAAAAAGGAGCCGGGTGAATCCACCCCTTGTGGAATTTGCAACTTGATATTGGTATATTACGGTCATCCTTCCTTCAAGCAATACTTATCAGGTTTACAATGAATATTTATTCCAGACCAAAGTAACTTTGACGTAAGAATAATAGTTTCTTTTTTTTCATTGTTAATACAAACTTTTCTCTTGGAACCCTAATAATAACATTAAAGAATATAAATAAAAGATGTGGTAATCGTACAATTAATAGAGCGCAGTTATTATTACATAAAACAATTGTACCTTTTCTATAATATAGTCAAAATGCCATGCAATAAAATATTAAATTAATTGAATAAAAAATGTTGGATTAGATGAATAATATGCACAATGTTCTGGTCAATGAAGGGCTCACTGATTTGAAATCCATCATATGGCTCTGTAAATAAGTACAAGTAACATTAATATGTTTAAACATTTTATTAAAAGTTTAAGAAATATTGAGAACTCTCTATGTATTAGAAATAAGACCTTGGTATACATATTTACTTGAGTAAAAACCAGAAAAAACAGAATAATCATTATATTGTAAAATGTATAACATTGTTAAAAATCAATGTCAGAAAGTGTCAGTATTACAGTTTTTTTAATTATATCAATATTTATTAGAAATAATGTCGAATAGTTTTAGGAGTCTAGCCAAAGCGTACTGTCGTTAAATATAACTTCAGACATTGAAATAACTACCGTCTGAGTAAACATATAAGTTATTAGAGGTTTCCGACGTACAACTGAAATTGTTAATAAAAGGCGTTAATTACTAATGTTAATATATAATTAAATTCACTTAAATATCAGATAAATTCAACCTAGTCTATAACCGGTTTTAAATAAAATTAATTAAAGAAAGAACTATTTACCAGCAGCTTCGAAATACTAACAATAAGTATTTAATGAAATTTCATACATATAATATTGTAAAGATTTTTAAATTATTTATTTTTTATAATAAAATTTTGAATTAATCTATGGCTGCAGTAAGCATGGTTGTATTCATGGTAGTGAAGTCAATGCTGTTAATGACACGCGGGCGAAGCGTCATCATTGTCTAACAGATCGTCTGATGGTCACGGAATGCTCTTCGAGGATGCAGTCTAAAAATATGTTGGAAACAAGTATGCGACATTGGCCGAACTTCGAAATACTTCCGTTCAGGTGTTAATGTAATAGTATAGCTTAAGTCAGTGCAAACTAACTAAAAGCAGTTTGTTTAATGTGTATTTATAAAAAATAACACATTCAGTCATATAAAATTAAACACAAATAATATCAGATTTTACGAGTAGGTAACTTTAATAAAACACACGAAATGTATTGTTAACGGAAGGTCATAGATTCATTCTTAAAAACATTATGTTTTAAATTATTTCAATATTATGAAAATTTTATAATAAACAAAAATATTAGCGCTACGATGTCTACGCGTTACAAAATTAAACATTGCCATAATGATTGCTGATAATATTATAACGTTTATAATGAAAATAACAAATTATTAATATATAAATATAAATACTCAGTTAAATGATATAAAAATTATACAATAAATTAAATTGAAGATATTCAATAATATTATTTAATTCGTAAGCTTCTTTACACATTTTCGAATTCAGCAATGTACACATTTACACGTCGACAGAATGCAATTTTATAATATGCACTCGATACAAATTAGTCGTTTTTATATAAATGTATTCATACCGACTAGTTTCGATATTTTAATGTAAGTTTGAAATTACAGTAGCATACTGTTTGTAAGACGAGAATAAAATTTTTAAACGGCAGTCTTAAAATTTTTTCATTAAACTGTATCGGTATTTGTTAAGCATACTAGTTTAACATCTATAAACGTTATATCTATATATAACGAAAGTTTTTATATTTTTATATAAATAGCTTTACTAATTGCTGATAAGTTCACAACTTGCAAAATGCACTGTACAACTAATTATTTGAACACATGTAAATATTGTAATGGCACTTGTAAACAATATTTTCCTCAGCATGAGCACAGATGCGTGCTCGAAGCTTGTTGGCGGCAAACTGCTCCGCTAAAGAATCCGTAACATCGTGAATGTTAAATATTGAAGCTGGTCGATTCTTATTTGATGGCAGATGCCCAAATCTAAAAGGGTTCAAATGTCAAGACTATATCGTACATTATGATGCTACACTTTGTCTGCCGAAGTCATTTCATTCCATTTGATTCGTTTATCATAATAAAAGACCTTTCCCTTTCAAAATACGAAGTTAGCCTGTTTAGCATGTTTTACGATATCTTTTTATACATACATATCTTTTATAATAACTTATGCTTTTTTACTGCATCAGAAGAAGGTTACAATAAATAATTCAATATTGATACATTCTCTGCTTATGAATGTATATTTTTAATATTTTATAGATTTTTTTTAAATACCAACATGCGAACTTGCAGACATAAGTATTTACATATTATTTGCAGCGTTTGAATTGTGATTTAGATCACAGATTTAAGATACGTCTACGAGAGGGAGTTTTGGCTATGGGAAAATTGAGATATAAAATTTTGCAAAAAAGTGTTTTATCATTTTAGTATCACCCCACAATCACATGTCGTATAATGTTTAATATGAAGTATTCTTAGGTTTCTTTTTAATTAAATCTAACCCAAACTTAACTGACTGAAATAATTAATTATATTAACATAAAAATATTGAATTGTTTTGATATTGTTAAATACAATAGTACATTAGCTTTTTATTCATTCATTAATTGTAATCGTGTGTACACGCCTAAACATTGAATAACAGCTTCTTCAGTGAACTGTTTTCTGAGCCGATCCTTGCACATGGTCAATGCGTAAGCCAGAAAGTGCTTGGAGGGGGCACTGTTCTTCTTACTGGTAAATGCTGTTTTCGAAGAAATTACAAAATTATATTACTATTTTACGTAGGAGCTTTTAAATAGTTTTTTTTTAGCGAAACATACAATTGAACGTTAAGAATAAATGATATAAATAAAAAGATGTTGCTACGATTAACCAGATGTATTAATCGAAAATTGTTGTTAACTTCGAACATAAATGCCCCGGTATCTCAAAGGTTACAGGTATTCAGAGGTTATGATTTTAGATTGTGTATAAGTAAAATTTTGTTACTTTAAAATATATTTCTTTTTAGAAAGTAATTAGATTCGTTGCAACTACTTCAGTCCAACCTCAAAATGCAATTAATCCAAAACTAGATGCACCTACAATAAATACTCCACAAGGTATGAGTGTGTGTACTTCATTCCTGAATTCTGTAATTATTAGTAGAAATATATATTTTTTAGTGCCGGCTGAGCAACAGGTTCAGAATGTAGTAGAAAGCACAACTAATCCAATTACTGAAAAAGTTTTGATAAGTGAAATACCAGGTAAAATAACTTTTCTACTTCCTTGAAGGAGTATACTTTAGTTATAATAATATAAATAACATTAAATCATAGTGATATGTTTGTAGCGTTCACAATTAGTTAACAATCTTGGTTACTAATTATTTTGATGTAATTAATAAATTTTTCAAGTGTAAAAAAAATAAATTTAATATTTAAAATACGGTTTACAGATATTCCAAAAATACCAAACGTAGTAGAAACTATAACTCAATTATATCCAAATGGTGAACCAACGTTAGAGAGCTTGGGATTGGGTGGATATTCTCCCTTTGGAATTGTTCAAAAAGGTTTTGAAGCATTGCATGTTTATTGTCATATGCCATGGTGGGCAGCAATTCTTGCAGGAACAATGATTGTTAGAATATTAATATTTCCAATAGCACTTCGTATACAAAAACATGCTGTAAATATGCAGAATAATTTACCAAAACTACAAAAATTACAGTTAAATATGTCATTAGCAAGAAGGAGTGGAGATGATTACCAAGGTATAAAATGAATATTACAGTTTGTTTATAAAGGTGATAAACTTTATTATTACTTGTAGTTGCTATATGTGGCCATGAGTTATCTAAATTTATGAAAGAAAAACAATTGAATCCTTTTAAAAGTTTCGGTTTATCTTTATTACAAGTATGTATTTTATTATGTCTAAAATAATATCTTCTTTTTATATAAAAATCACAATTTAATTAACATATTTGTTAGCTTCCCATTTTTCTCTCAATTCTTATTGGTTTGAGACGAATGACAGAAGCTCCAGTTCAAAGCTTAAAAGAAGGCGGATTATGGTGGTTTGCAGATTTAACTACCTGTGATCCATATTACGTTTTACCTATACTTACTTGTGCAACAATGTATATATCTATAGAATATAATCTTATATTAACTGCTAATATGAGCACTATGGTAAAATATTTTCTGCGTGCTATGCCAGTCGTTTTGTTTCCATTTTTAATGAAATGGCCAGGGGTAAGATATTCCACTTTGTTTACACATACTTTTTTCATATCTACGTTAATCATTTATATAATTATGTATTGCTTTAGGCTATTTTATGTTATTGGTTATCAACAAACGTTTTCTCCTTACTACAAAGCAGACTACTAAAAGTAGGTCCAGTAAGAGAGTATTTCAAGATTCCAGCAAATGTCAAACATGACATTGAAAATCTTCCTAAAAAACCAAAATCTTTCAAGGCAGGCGTAAAAGAAGGTAATTTGAAATAATAAGAGATTTAATGTAATATACTAAATTTGAACTGTATTTCAGCTTGGACTAATGTCAAAATAAGTAGCAAAATGGAAGATAAAAGACGTGCAGATGCAGTACGGTTTAACGATGCAGGGAAAGGTCCTTTGAAAAAGACATTCAAATATGATCCAACGAAAAAACGACCACCAACAGCAGCAGAAATTTTAACAAAGAGTAAATAACAAATGTGTAAATTTTACAAATATAGTAATATTATTTAGTTTTTTATAAACAATTCATTATTCCCATCCATTATTCTAATGATAAATAATAACTTCATAATATATTTCATTGAGAAAGTTTTTAATAACATTTAATGGTTCAGAATAAATAATTTATTACTAAATATATTAAAAAATATGTTTAAATATTATGGATATTAGAATAAAAAGAAAATGTATTTGTATAAGAATAAGTAATAGAATATTGTATTAGAATGTACATTTTGCAATTTTATCATTTAACTCTTAACTCCAACACATTGATTAATTACTTCAAGTAAATGACTATTTTCAAGAGCAGCAGCGACTCTTTCTTTATCAGCAAGTTGTTTATTTACTGCTGCTTCTGACATATGGGTACCTGGTGTAATTTCTACATTAACTTTAAACCTTGAAGGCAAAGCTCTTAAAAGTTGAACTCTGATTGATAAACCAATTAATGTTGCCATACTACAGTGTGGTATTGTCGGTGTAAATTTTACATGAATTTTGTTTGCTTCATTATCAATCTGGAATAACACAATATGTAAAGTACAAAAAATGTACTATTCTACTACGACATTATAATTACCTCAATAAGATTCTGCTCTACCACATTCAACTCTTCTAATGTTAAGGGATGTTCAGGGTCATTGATGTTTTTTATAAGATCTATAAAAATGGAATATAGTAGAAAAAATATGATAAAGAAATAAAACATAACATTGATTAATTTCCAAAGATTTAAGAATATGTACCAAAAATTTCACGTGCATCAAATTCATCCGCAATATCTTCATCTTCATCTTCTGCGGTTATTAATCTTTCATCTATCTTCCTATATAACTTTGGATTAATGTTTTCTAATGTGTCCGTCATTTCTTACAAAGTACAGGTTACACACTGATGAGATATGATAATAAATCGAAGATCTAATGTATTTCCGTGAAGCAATCTTCTACGATGTTAATGCGACGTTTGCTTACTAATCTTAATATTTAATATATATATATATATATATATTTATCTCCATAAAATCCTAAAATAGGGTGATAAATCTCTGCAGAGACGAGAGACAAGGTACACTTCTCATCTTATAAAACTTTGTGTTCGAAGATCTGAAATAAACATTTATCAATTGCGTAAAAAGACAAACATTTCGTGGTGCCATCTACAATTTAGAGTATCAAGTTTAAAAATGATAAATAACGTAATAATATATTCGTCGGTAATATAATTTGCCATGCGATCTTACCGACATAAGGTATTGCATTCCAACATAACCAACATCAGGAAAACTCCAGAAATTCGAAAAGTCAGTGCAGCGCTTCGACAGGCCGGTAGAGCTGTACCGGAACTTACGCGAGATGGCTAAAATGGTAGCGGCGCGAAGGGCACGTACGACTAGCTTGAATTGAATGGGAGTAGAGAAGCAGGGAACAGTTCGGCAACACGGCACCAAGCCGGCCGGCATTTCGTGTACCGTCGTCGGGTCGCGCGGACGTTCTTTTCGTGTTCTGTTTCGTGTGTTTCGCGTCGTTGTTCAGTGTCAGTTACGGCGTTCTCCTAAGCGAAAATCACCGAACGAAAACTCGCGTTTTATTTTAACCAGCATCCTCCTAACTTCTGTACCGATAATTCTCAGTGAAGCAAATCAGATCCTTACCAATTGGGCTGAATGTGCCGTAGATCATCCGAAGAATGCGCGCCGAGTGGAGAATCCCCGAATGCAGGTAAAATGTTCGTATTTTAAGTGAAGAACAAGTGTTGTTACAGTGCAGTGTGCCGATCAGTGGATTCGGGATCTCTGATTGGTTTAGAATGGTGCCGCGGGATTCACAAGAGAAGTATGCCAATGGGAATCTCTTGGTTGTCCGGATCCTTGACGGTTACGATCTCCCGTTCTTGATCTGGTGACGATCGCACACCATACCACCAATCGGGAATCGGGTGCGCGCCGTGTTTTTGGTTTAGTGTTATGTGTGAATGTGTTGGTTTCTTCGTGGAACAATCATGCCGTTCGTGCTGCGGAAAGTGGAGCCGCGCTACCTGTGCCGCGGACACGTGCCAACGGGATCGGCACCGCAGGGTTGGCCGGTCGGTGCCGAATTGGAGGCAGTGGCAAACGGTGCGTTGACCATCTCGCTGAAACAGTTGGCATCCCTGCTAACCACCGCCGAGAGTATCTTCGCTGACCTGACTGCCGAGCTGACCGCGGTTGCCGATCGTAGTAGCCGGTTGCGGCAAAGGATCGACAAGGTCGAAGAACGTCTTACCTTAGTTGATCCGAAGAAAATACCAGTCCGTAAGTACCAACCTTCGTTCTACCTTCACTGCGAGCGATGCATTTTCAGCCGGTCTTATCGATGCAACCGGCGGGACAAGCGGCTTCTTGTCAGCGGCCGCTAACAGCTACAGACTCCTTGGAAACTCATTGTCAGTTTACGGTTTTGCCAGGTAAAAGAATTCTTTTGGCGTTCGTTCGACGACGCGTTTGCGTGGATCATTTAAATTGATGCCGCTTAACCCTTTATATTTTTCGTTATAGATATTTATCATTTTCTGGTGAAATATTGATGATACTGTTAGCGAGTAACATAAAGGAAAATGTTATATAAATTAAGGGTTGGTACTAATTTTTTTTTGGTTCTCCCAAGTAAAAGAGTTCTTTTGGCGTTCGTTCGACGACGCGTTTGCGTAGATCATTTAAATTGATGTCACTTACCCCTTTGCAATCGAAAATATTTTTCGTTATAAATATTTATTATTTTCCGTTGAAATATTGATATTACTGTTAGCAAGTAACATAAAGGAAAATCTTATATAAATTAAGGGTTGATACTAATTTATTTCTGAGGTTCATGTGTTGACACCTAATACAAAAATGGATATTGAATTTCAGTGTTCATAATTTCGGTGTATCGTAATCAAATGGCGAACGAGAGTCGCCTCTCGAGTGCAAACGGTTAACACGTTTCGCTACCAGCGGTTATTTCGGTGACGGTCTCCTCAATTATAATATTTTCTTCAATCCAATAAATCTTCTGAAGAAAATATTACAAAAATGAAACTGAAACGAGTCATTGAGTTCCTAAATATAATGTCGTAGTTTGTAATTTCTAATAACAGTATCTATAGGATTCATTTCATTTTCGTTATATAAAATATAGGATTACGGCCGTTACAAATATGTGACGCTGGCAGCGAACGTGTTAAGTTGAAGAAGAGAACTTCTTAGAACCGGTAAAGAATTAAAGTCGCAATTTTTTAAAATGAAATAAAAGAAATGCAAAACATTGTAAGATAAGCTTGTTTTACGAAAATTGCTCCTTTCTCTTGATGTACTTTCGTGTTATTTGTTCCATATTCTTAGAGTTCAATGTCATTCCTACTTTTTAATTATGAAAGACAATAAAATAGAACTGACGTAGGGGTACCTTTGTTTGAACTTTTCACCCCTATTTGTTACGTGCATTTAATGTCCCTTCTGAGGCGACTGCATACAGTGCACGCGTGTGCTTAGGGCACTGGTATTTGCACTGGAGATTCTTGGAATCTCGCGGAACTGCCTGTGTGAAATCGATCTCGCGATTGAAGTGTCGTTGTTCGCAGATTCATTCAGCCTCGAGAGGGGCTCGGTACTCTGGCTTCGAGCCGCCTTTCGAACGAATCCACTGATTGTGAGTGCCTTGAAACGTCAACGAGATAAATGAGTCTCATCGATTCAACGAACTTATTCGTGGATCGATAAAGAAAAATAGATAATATGCTAGTAGAATATTAGACCAAAGTATAAGTAGCTTCTGCAATGAACATTTAATAGTTATTAATTAATAATTAAATAACGATAAAGACAAAAGTTTTTCAATAGATTAATAGTTACTTAATGGCGATTAAAAGTGTATAATAGATTATCATTAAATTGTAATCTGACTTCAATCGAAATTATCACTAGAACTACCAGATGGGTCCAAATTACTCATTTCTAAATTCTTCTTTTACAATTATTGAAGAAACAATAGATCCTTCTCTAAGAAATTTCGAAAGAAATTATTTTAGCAATACGCAAACTAAGTTTTGAGCGATGACTGCTTGGTAGTTCTAGTGTAAATAATACGTTTCTTTATAATTTCTCAACGTGAGTATTATATATGCCCAAAGAAGGAAATATTTTAATCAGAATAAATTTCAATTTTAATAAGATTCGAAGAGGGATCGAAACAGATCGATATAAATGAAAAAATGTCTTCAATTACAAGCAAGGAACAAACGCTTTGAACTTTGGTGCGCGTTTCGAATATTTCTAACCAAAGTTATCACATGTTTGTATCGATATTATCTACAAGATAGGGGACATTAATAATGGAAAATCAGAATTGTTGAATTACCGAAATTTCCTCGGGAGTAAGAAACAGCAGCAACGGCGTTAGCAGGGGAACGGGAGGGTGTATCCGTGGAGACTTGCATTACGGGGAAAATGGTCCGGGGTTACCTGGTATGCACCGTGGGAAACGGTTCTCACGATGCTGAAAGCGAGTTTCACCTGAGGACGAAGGATTAGCTGCTGCCGCTGGTGCTCGAATGTTAAAAAGACGCCCTTGTTCTGATCCCGCTCGGCTTCGGGATAAGATGAACGAGCTTCCGTCAGAGCAAAGTACACCTAACTGACTGAATATGCGCATAATAATACAGGGTGTCGTAAACAAACCTTGCCACACTTTGAGCGTTTATAAAAAATGAAAAAGAAAAAGCAAATCAGCGTTTTATTAGTTAACACGTTGACTGCCACAATGGTCAGTGATGACCGGAGCTTCCAAATTGCTGGAGAATAATTACGATAAAAAACTTGATTTTAGATAAAAATATTTAGTAATATAAGTAGCTAGATCATAGCGTAATGTGACTACTGTAATACGAAATCATTAATAATTATTTTCAACATCATTTGCCTTTGTTATTAACAAAAAAGTATTACTGTTTAGAACGATAGGAATTCTCGTGGCAGTCAACGTGTTAATAAAGAGCGATAACAATTTTTTGTCACACCCTGTATATAAGAATTATAATTATTATTAGTATATTAATAGTAATAATGATAATTATTATTGTAATAATTATCAATACCGTTATCGTTTGTTATCCATTGTCAAATTATCTTTGAAAAGATCGTTATTGATTTTAAAATATATTCTCGTTTTTGATAAGAGACGAAAATTTCATTGTAACGTTAAATCGTAACGAACTTTGCTTCCTCTTGCAACTGAAAATGATGGGCAAGATGCGTGGAATGAAATTGAATTTATTAGAAAATAAACTAAGTGTACTCGAAAACAATTTAAATCAATAGAACGACATTACTTCAGTATTTGAAGGTAGTGATTTTCGCAACCGATTGCTATGGGAAACGTTTAATGAGGCGAGTTGGATTCTACGGATGAATCTCTTGGAACTTAATCATTTAATGGAAACTTTACTGAAACTTTATATGTCGTAAGTAGGCCACGGATATATTTGTGTGTTTGTATAGTAAGCAGGAAGGGAATAGTAATTGAACTGGGATGGAGGTGATTCTACACAGAAAAATAAAATACAATTTCCTATGAAATTTTCTGTCCGAGACTTTATTTTCGAGAAAATCGAGTTCTAATTATGTAGTTCTTATTATATTATGTTAATATTTAAAACACAATTAATGCATTCAACATTGTACAGTTCCATTGAAAGAAAACGGAGATCACTTTTATAACCAAACAATTTCGAAAAATATTGTTTTGATAAGTTTAATCTCTAATAGAATATTCTACTACATTCAATTAAAGGAAACACCTTGTATATGATTTCTTTTACAACTACGCTCTCTAGAACCACCTTGTCGTTAATAATATATTCGAAGAAAATGTATTTCATTTTCTTATCTAATTCTATATTTACTCTAAAGTGAATGATTGATTAAATTGATTGATTAAAGAAAAAGTAACACGTATTTAATGTTAATTTAGAATTAATTTATGTTCACATTTGTCCAATTTTGTTTGAAATCTTCGTTACAAGTCTGACACAACTCTGACGCTTGTATGAGGCGAAGGGTTAACTCGATGTTTTGTCAGCAATCAAAACTTCGTCGAACAAATTTGTTTGCGATTTGTTCTTTCGCGACTCTGCGTCGAGCTCTATCGAGTCGAGCCGAGCCGAGTTATGCCGTACTGAAAGAAACACTGTTTTCTCGTTCCGCCACGTTTCACATGCTCTGCTCTCGAAATCCGATCTCTGCCGCTTCTTCTCTCACTTCCGTGTCTTCAAGCCTTGTTCTTCCCTTATCATACCCTCAATTGTCAACTCGGCCATTACAAAAGACCGAATACTGTCGACTATCAGATACACCGAGAGGATAAGAGTCAGACTATCACTAATATCTGTTTATCATTGAACATTGAATGGACAGTCTTACGGTTCTCTGTTTGTTTCCATTTTAATAACACTTATTAACCCTTTGCACTCGAAAGTTTTCATTAGAAATATTCAACACTTTTAATAAGATATAAATGACACTTTTTTCAATCAATTTAAAGAGAGGTCCTACATAAATTATGGAACAAAGCCGCGTTATTTTAATATTTCATTTGTTGGTACATTATGCGAAGTTTAATATTAGTTATTAAACTTTATTATTTTGATGCATCACACTAAGGTTTAACGCTTTCCACTCGGTGATTTTGTAGATCATTTACCAACAATTCAAGCATATGTATTTATAAAATGACGAGTAACGTTTTCTTGCAAATAATGTGGTGTATTGTGGAATGTTGGAACTTGGCACTTGCAATAAAATTTGAATCCATTACGCATTACAATAAACTAAGACTTTTCGACCAGTTTTATTATCTATACAATATTCTCGTAGAGGGGAAAGTCGAATGCTAGGGATTCATTTTATACCGGTAATAGAACATTTATACGACACAACCGAGTCATTCCTTGTTCCTTTAGGGCTAAAGTTTAACCCCTTATCCTTCAAGTCCCGGATGTAATTTAGTATGTACATAAGTTGCATTTCTTCTTCTGAATAAATTGCTGTTATTACTTTAAAGCATCATACAAATTGAAAATTAAAATGATCAATTTCAGAATGAACTTTTCGAAAATAATGTAATGAATTGATTAGTCCCATCGAACACAATTGTAAAAGCAATCATAGAACAAGGGGTTCACAGTTTCCTCATTTTCACCGTCCATTAAGTATTACAAAAGCGAACAATTTGCCGATCGCGAATGTGTTAATAATGCAGAAATCGATAAGTAGACTGCAGATCTTCATACAAATTCAAATGCTTAACAATAGAATTGAGAAAACAGAAATCGAAAACTGTTTTCCATAACAAAGATTCTAAGAAGCATCACACTTTGATCCCTTTATATTCTTTCGTGTTGCAAGCTTCGACTCTCAAATTTTCCATGAATGCATAAAAATCCGCAGTCTATTGATAAGATACGGTTTAAGAAAACGGTACGATATAGACGGGTCTCCCCTTCCATGCGCGACTGTATCCAGTAACAGCCGACAGAGTCTCTGCTCGCTGTTGCGCCACGGAACAGCCCGCAGGTCGAGGTAGACGACGTAGAAAGAATCCTACGGCTTCCATCGGCAAACAGCTGAGGCTTCTTCCTCCTATCGGGGGCCCTAACCCCGAGGGATCGTTCGAGTCGACTCGAGTCGAGACGAGTCCTGTAGGTCTCTTTGGAAGATCGTCTGGAACAGACAGCTGACTGGACAGGTATGTACAGTCAGGCGCAAGAATGTCTTCAAGGTCAGAACCGGAGGTTTATTATTTCCATGGTATTTCGCGTGTCGTCCTCTGATTAGAGATTCCTTCTCGCTTCGGATGATCTACGAAACGAGATTTATCGAAACTTCTCGTCACGTGACAAAATGAACTTGAAATATATCTTTTCACGACTCCTTATTTCCGTGCCGTACTTAATCTCGAAACCGCAGAATTCTTTCGAGAGACTTTGCAATTTAACGCGTTTTAAATTAATTCTTTTCTCCGCTTGCGTTCATTGTTTTTTTCTTTAGAACGTAATTAGCTTTTTAATAAAGAATGATGTTTATATTTAGTGATTACGATTAACATCTTTAGCGATATGCTTCATATGCACGCGAATGATCGTATTTGCATGAAAAATGAATTTCATTCGGGAAGTATTGTAGTTTGGAAATACATGATTACAATATTCTATTTATGGCATCTGGTTATAAAATTGTAGGCGCTGCATTGAATCTCTTGAACATTCTTCCGAAGGAAGGATAAATGAAACACTCTTTATCTTGTGCACGTATGTACAATTTTATTTTTACCTGTTTTACGACTTTCTCAGCGCTCTGCGTACTACAAGGTGTCGCGAAAAAATAAAATTGAGTGTTTTACCAGCTGACAAAGTGTGGTAAGATTCTTCAGGGACACCTTGTATGTCGTTGCATCGACGCAGCTCGATGCAATTTGTTACGACTGTGAGCGACGTTTTGTTACGATTCCACGATCAAGCGCCCGATTTCTTTCACGCTGTGGAGCAAATGAAATTGCAGCGGGAAATGAGGCGCGGATGAGGGTCTCGCGAAGGTTGACGTAAGAAGAAATGGAACGCCACGCTTGGATGAAACGGAAATAGAAAGTTCCTGGGAAACTGGTGTAACAGATAGCGAATGTGGCTCCTGAGAATGTAGCAGTTGCCAGGTAGTCTTCGTTCAGTGTCCCGCACCGAGGCCGTGTACTTTTCGCGTTAACCCTTTGCCTTATACCAACGTGTCAGACTCGCGGTAAAGATTTTAACACGTGAATGCCGCACGGTTTCATAGTACAAAATACTCGAAATGGAAAAAATATAATATTAAATCATTTGATTGAATTGCATTGTTATTATTGCAGGTTCATCTAGTTGAATGTCACCACATTAGCTAGCATTATTTGTAATATAGAAATGTTTTCGAATATTCATTTATTGAGTTTAATTGAGTGAACTATAGTAATTCGATTTGATTGAGGGTCACCGGTGACTTCCATGGCATTCAACGTGTTAAAGGTCTCCAGCTGATCACGGGCCTTTAATGTTTCCGAACACTCCAACTCTCGGTCTTTCTTTTTCCTTCACTCGCGTTGTCCCTTTCTACGCCCGCCATGCTGAAATCTTCGTTTTTTTGGGGTGGATTTGATTCTATCCCTTCGTTGAGTGTTGCAATTATCCAATGTTCACTGTAATAACAAATTCTAATACCATTTGCCTTAGCTGTGAAACGATAAGCAATAAATGCTCTAAATTCTCGTGGCTGTAAACGCGTTAACGTATCTTCCAACCTCTCAGCTGCGGAGAGACCGATGTGCGTCTGTAAGTACTTATCTGTATTGTGTACGTTACAAAGATTTCGATCTCGATTGCTTTTACACTTGAGTGAGTATGAAGGAAAGATAAATCGATCGTCATTCGAAGAATTGAAAGCTCTTCTCTGGGTTTAGCAGTTGGTATTTGAATTAATTATTAGCGATTTGGTATCATAGGTAAGTTATACTATTATTCAGTTACTTGTATTACTAAATATTCTCAGTCGACACCAGTCTTTTTCTTGTAATTCTTTTCAAGTAATTTAGAAGCTCCGATTATGATCATCGTGACGGTCAACGTATTGACACTAGAGTAATTATTGATGCCTTAGAAACATTGAATATTCGAAATGATCTCGAAAATAAATACTTTCATTTGAGTACCATAAAGAGTGTCTGAAGAAACTGAAAATAATTTGTTGCTACAATTTTGATGTGGATTACACATCAATCATATTAAATGCTCGATAGTTCTAGTGTTAATAATAATTATTCAATTAACATTATTCTTGGTGCTCCAAACGGAGCAGCTGAGCTATTGGTATTTATACTGCTTGGTTGCCCAATTCAAGTCGATTCGGTAGTTTGAAAAGTCAGCTGATCGACGTGTTGGCCTCTCGAACAATACGCATTCCGAGAACAATTGAACAAGAGTCGTGCGGTGAGTGACATTCAAGCGGCGTGCATCTCTGAATGATTCCTCTGTTGCGTTCAAAGACCGCGTCTTTTCGCGTCTCTTTGATGCAGCTTGCTGTACATCGTACTGATCCCGTGAAGTGAACTATATATGTACGTGTTAGCAGGTTCACTACCAACGTCACTTATTCCTGGCGGTCATAATCCTATGCTTTACGTAAAAACAATGAAATTAATGCTGTAGGTATTATTATTTAACACTATCGCTGGTGCAGTGGTACAGTGGGACCAGAGCTTCGCAATGCCTTGAAAACAATTATAATTCATAAAACAACTGACGTCGAATAAAAATGTTCAATAGCGTAAATAACTAGATAACAGTGTAACGTAAGAATTATTTTAACAAATAATTAATTGTTTATTTTTATCTTTGCTACAAAGGAATAAGCGGTACGTAAAACACTAATGTTTTCCGTGGCAGTCAACGTGTTAACCAGTTAACTGCGTCTGACAATATACACGTCATTTTGAAGCTTGAAATGATGCTAAGTCTTTCAACGACTGATTCTTAATTTTTTCAGATAAACACACAATCCTTCTTTGTTTCGCTTTAGTTTGTCATTCAAATATACTCTAGGCGTATTCATCCTGCGGTTGACGAGTACACACTTGACTGTTTCATTGTATCGCGTGCAAGATGAGAGATTTTTCAAACTAAAGTCCACAGTTAACAGGTTAAAGTTATAAAGTATGACATTGTTCTTCACAGTTCAATTATCCTTGTTTTAATTTCATGTTTTCAATGTTTTGTTTGGAAGATTTAATGGATTTTACGTATTAATCATATTAAATACTCGGTAGTCTAATGTTAAGAATAACACAAGTACAACGAGAGTTTCCAACCGAACGACTTCTAAAGTGTTCGAGCATGGTTATCGTGTATAATAGTATTTACGCATTTAGTGACGTCATGTTACAAAAAAACCAGTTCGACTCCGATCACAAGGAAGAAATTCCATGTCGAGACGGAAGATAAACAATAACGCGCTTCCTCCTCTACCGCTTTCGTCGATAATCGCGATCACTCGGTTAGCGCCAAGTCGCCAACTGTCTTTGCTGATTTTTCTCTTAACACGTTGAATGCCGAACGGTTTCACGAAGCAACATACACGAAATGGAAAAGAATACAATATCAAAGTATTTGATTAAATTGCATTATCATTACTGCACGGTTATCTTGCTAAACGTCACCGCTTTAGGTTGCATTATTTCTAATGTGAACACATTTTGCAATAATCACCGTTTAACACTAAAACTACCGAACAGTTAGATTGACTTTTTGAAATTCCTTTATACAAACTTCGAGAATGCATCTATCGAGACTTCAATCTATTTATGATTCAGTTTCCGTATCGCTGAATCAATTTCTTTACTAATTTCTCAGAGAAACATCTGTTATCCTTTTTACTAATTGCAAAAAGAAGAACTCAGTAATGGGTGATTCTGATCTGTCTGGTAGTTTTAGTGTTAAAGTTCGAATTGTCAGGTTGGGTGGCTTTCCTTGGGAGAAATCGGTTCATTGTGCGGGATCGATGTTATTTTACGATCGAGCCGCGCAATAAGTTAGGCTCGCGCAAATGCGACTCCGCTGGCCCGACGGGGAACACGTTGCGAGGAGTAAAGGGTTCCGGAGAGTTCGTTACGGAGCGAGTTCAGGCGGGGAAGAAACTCGTCGACCTTATCGAGGCATCCTCGATTACCATTACCTGCACGCCGGGACACAATATCTTGTTTTATCGGGCATCGGTGCTCCACGTGGCCTTGCTCGCGTTACACCCTACCTTTCTCGCGGACTTTCACGACGTTGCGATCCAATTAGATACACTCGCCCATCGATTTATCGTGCACCGCCGATTTTTCATGGCGAGGCTCGTCCTTCTCTATCGCTGAGTAGTAAAATCCTTGTAATCGTTCACGGTTCAAACGCCGCAATCGTGTTTCGAGGTTAATTCACCTCGATGATTTTTTTCTTTCGGATGTGAAACGGATGTGAGGCTTTGCAGTACCTCTATTTCAGACGATACTCGTGCATTTCGAATTTGGATCTATTTACAGTACATCAATGGAACGAGCCAATTTGATTTGCATGGAGTTTTGCAAATATTGTTTGGTAATATTTGGTTTTTAACACATTGCGTACCGGCTAATTTTCAGAAAACTGAATTGTGCGGATGGCAATTTTCACTGGGGTCAACTTATATCACTATTCATAGAAAAACTCAGATTTCATATTGTTATGTAATATATTTTAAATAGATAATCAATTTGAATTAAATTTTACACTCCAGAGGCGCCTCTAAGTCACCAAATGATTTGACGCAGCAAAACTGTAATCTTTGATATTTAATATTAAACTTCGTATAATGCATCAATGTACGAAATATTGAAAGAAAATAGTTCTCTTCCGGAATGCATTTGAGATTTCTTAATTCAATCTAAGAAAATGTCATCTGTATCTCATTAGAAAATATTGAATATTTCCGGTGAAAAACTTCTGGAGTGCAAAGGGTTAAACGTTCGTGTTCTCTAAATTCCCTAAATTTGAATGAACATCAATCTTTCTAGGAACGATAGAGTAAACTGTATAATAAATGTTCGTAAATCTCGTTTTCATTTTTGTTAGGTGAATGTTGCATAATTTGTTTTGTACAATATCATATCCCTTTACGATAATTATTTCATTTGTTACTTTGTTTGACATTAATTTTCATCCGCAGTATCCAACGAGTTTGTTTCTATCCTGTTTTTTCAAAAAGTTTAATTTTGAACGAATGAAGGTTACCTTCAGAAATTTGATGTGAGTTAATTGTAAAAACCATGCAAACGTTTGTGGTAGAAAGTCATTCTGCAAATTCACCTAAATGAAGTGATATATATTTTTATAGCATCATAATTATATAATCATAACACAGTATTTAATTGTGTAGAGCGGATACTCTTCGCACGGAGACCATTAAATCAGGTTGCAACGCAGGTTTCGTTCTTTTTACTGAGCAAATGAAATAATTCCCTGAAACACGAGATATAAATAGTGATTCTCAACCTGAACAAATGGATTTCGCCGAAACAAGTTATATAGTTTTCAAAATAAACTAAAAAGTATCCACAAAAATTGATTGAGTCCCTTGTCCACTTTAAAGATTGTTTAAACATGTCCGTATGTTTAAAAAATGTGTCTCTATAATGTGTATCTATAATAATATACGTAATTTATTGTGAAACGTAATCTATCGAATTATTTTCTATGAAAAAAATAATTTATTATAGCTTTTACAACATACGAAAAATGTTGAAATGTGAAATGTTCGTTTTTTCAAATTTACATTTCTGAAATTCGGGTGTCTACTACAAATTTTTGAGAACCTAGAGTCTGTACCAAAAATTTCTGAGCGAAGATCATCTTTGATAACCAACGTTCTCCTCATGCTTGAAAACTCTGAAAACTCGCTAGTCTGACAAATGGAAGGAAGGAGTAGTATCTGTGAGTACTTGTCGCATTGTTCTTGTACGCAAAGGTTCCGAGATAAGCGGTTAACTTTGTGCATGTAGAGAAAGTTATAAACGCGCGCATTAAGCAGTAATCTCATATTAGACGAACGTTTTAGGTCAATTAATGTGCAGTGGTTATCTAAAGGTTAATGTGTTTTACATAGACGAATTTGTCTTTTTATCAACTGCAGTTGCAATT